ATGGTGCCTATTGCTTATAACTGACAGGCTGTATTACAGTCAAATCCCTAAGAAAGGATTTGAGCACCTGCACACAGCCTGAGTTCACACTACCTTTAAGTCAGGACACGGGGAAGGGGCAACCAACACCTATGGCTGATGTTTCTCATCCCTGTGAGCCCCAGGCCCCAAGAGTCTTTAATATGTGGCATAATACAAACGCCAGTGGTGCCCCATGATCCAATCAAACAGGTTGTCAGTGAGCAGGAGGGAGCAGGAAGCACAAATGGGGTAAAGTTAAAGCAATTATTTTCTTTTGGAAACAAGTAAATGCTTAACAGAAATCAGAATGAGGAGAGTTGAACTGTGTTTGTTCAGTTTTTTATTTCCAAGTTCCTTTGGGCTCCTGACATACCTTTGGGCACCTGAAATGCCACCCCAATTACAGCTACCATCCTTGATCCTGAAAGAAAAATCCCATGGGACTGACAAATTGCTCTGAGAAAGAGGTCCCCTTCCCACCTGCTCTTTAAAAGCAACCAAGATCAACACACCTGCACAGCCACATTTACAGAACATTCAGTCAGATTTAAAGTCACCATTTCCATCAAACTGTTCTCCAATTCCCAGAGCTGTAGCAATCCAGATGGGTCAGATGCTGCCATAAGCTCGCACCTTCCAGGACAGATGCCAGGATCTAAGACAACTCTATCCAAGTTCCTGATTAAGGCTCAACAGCAAATATATGGAAAGCAATAAACAAAATTGCTTAGAATTCCTATTTTCACCCTAGATTCCCAGAGGAAACAACAAATTTGGAGGATCAACTGGCCAAATCACGTAATTATCTATAGAAAAATTTCTCCTATGATATATACAGCATTTAGACAGAGACCTAACACAAATTCAGTTCTGTTAGAGGTGATAAATGATAGACAAAATCCTTATCTCCAACCTGACCATTCCTATTTTTACTTCCTGATGTCTTTTGTCACAGAATCCCGTTTCAGTCTACATTCAATACCGTGGCCTGTTTGGGGAGAGGGGGTGGTTAGCATGAAGCGCTGAGCTGAGAAGCTACAGTGGGTGTAGAGGTGAACAGAGCCCCTCTCCCGAGTGGAAGGGAAGCCGAGAGCATGCAGCAGCCTCGCAGCACCGCGCAGCAGAGCGGCAGTGTCGCCCGCTGGCCGCTCGCAGCATTGCCGGTGCTCTGACCGCAGCATCCTTACTCCTCCCGGCCCCTCCACCTTCCTCCCTGCTCTCACTTTGGGGAAACCGGTGGAATTGGCAGCCCTGAAGATTCCCCAACACAAAACGCCTTTGCTGAGGATCATGCCAGAGCACCATGGCACAACAAGCCCGGGAGGTCTGAGGGCACAGCCCATCCATGCAGAGTATGGATGGATGCAGCCTACCCATCCAGAATGCAGGTAGAACCACACAACCCACATCAAAAAGATCATCTCATATCCTTATCTTCTCTTCCTATTTCCACCCTGCCCAGCTTCTGCCCTCTGCGAATATAAATCAAAAGGGTAATTAACAACTTCCTCAGCAGGAATAGAAGTCACCTTAGATATAAGATACCTGTGCAATCACTCTGGGATATCAACATAGCAAAACGTATCCTCTGCACCTGTCAATGAATGGCTACTTCAGAGCAGTTGAGCTTTATCAGAAACCTGTACTTCAGTTATGACCTCTGTGTCGATGAAGAAAGCACAGATGTGTGCAGAGTCACATCTCTGCACATGAAAATGTGACACAAGCACTCGGAATCAAGAATAAAAAGCAATGAGCAGAACAACACTGTCCTGCTCCTCCGGAGAGGAAATGGAAGGGCAGGCACTGAACTCTTCTCTCTGGTGACCAGTGATAGGAATCAAAGGAATGGCCTGAAGTTGTGTCAGGGGAGGTTTAGGCTGAATATAAGGAAAAGGTGTTTCACCCAGAGAGTGGTTAGACATTGCAGCTGGCTTCCCAGGGAAGGGGTTACAGCACAAGTCCTGTTAGGAGGTGACATGAGGATATGCAGATTGGTAGGAATGACATCAGATACCTGAATACATGAATTTACTTTAGTAAGGGAAGTTTGAAGCATGAATTAAAAGGAAAAAAATGTTTAGGAAACACGTTCAGAGACACTGCAGTCAAACTTCTGAGCCATAGACTTTTGGCTCAGAAAAAGTTCCTACTTAGGAACTTTTTTCCCACAGCTTGGGAAAAAATTCCTACTTAGGTCCAGTTTTGAATTGATCTTTTGAAGATGTTGGGCTCATTAATGAATTATTAATGCTGTAGCTCATCACCACCCAAATCTATTTAAAGCTTAAGCTGGAGCAAGAGCAAGTGACCCCTCTGCTACCTCCTTACTGTTTTTCCTCCAGCAGGTACCAGGGTTATTAACAAGACTTGTGTTTTCTGACCTGTATTGTTAAGACTGCAGGAGATGTCCTGCAGTCACCAAAAAAACCCAGACAAAACCAAACCTGAAACCAAACAGACAAATAGTTCATGAAAGATGTTCCAGCATCTTGACAGCCCAAATGGATGATTTGGAGGCAATTATTAACTAAAACATCAGTTTTTTGTCCAAGACTGAATGTCCCAAGAATTGGCTCAAAATGAAAATTTATTGTTGCAACTCAGTATGGATTAGGCAACTCAAACATACAGATATGGGAACCTGCTACCAGACCAAGGGAGAGTGAGCCACAGAGAGCAAAGCGTTCAGGTGGACTAACCACAAGATCTGCAGGTGACAGAACATACTACAGGCCATAGTATACAATTATCTGTGGTCGGCGCTGGAAGCAGCAGTCAGCAGCTCAGGTTCATCCTCAGCAGAGGATGAGCTGCTCTTTTACCATTCCAGTCTCCACCAAGGCATTCATTATGCTCTTTTTCTCTCCACCTTGCAGCACATGGCCTAGTCTTCCCAGCCCTCCTCAGAGGCAAATGGGAAGAGGCAGAAGGATGTTTCATGTGCTCTCTCCTCCCTCCTTAGATCTGACCATTCCTCCACTCATGGAGCTCTATGCTATTCCTCAAGGCACAGACATGAAGGACATACCAAGGTGAGCCAGGCTTCTTCAAGTTATTTAAGTTTTCCTCAGATTCATCTCAGAGCATTCAAGCAACGAAGTGTGCAATTAACTGGAAAGGAAAAGTGGGTTTTAATGGCTTCACTAGTAAAAAGAGCCACTTTACTGGACAGCACTACTAATGTCTCCATAGTTATACCTATAAATACAGTAGTGTACTGAGTTTGCTTGGCAAGGGTTTGGTAGCAGAGTGGCTACATCGGTGGCCTCTGTGAGAAGCTGCCAGAAGCTTGCCCTGTGTCCAACAGAGCCAACGTCAGCCAGCTCCAGCATAGACCCAGTGCTGGCCAAGGCCAAGCCCATAGGCAACGGTGGTAGTGCCTCTGGGATTTTGGATTTAAGAAGGGAAAAAAACCCCATGCAACAGCAACTGCAGAGAGGAGAGTATGTGAGAGGAACAGCTCTGCAAGTACTCAGGTCAGTGCAGGAGAGAGGAAGTGGTCTGTGAGAGACTGAATTTTTAAAGGTTAACGAGCAGCGCGTGCTTTGCTGACAATGTGCAAGGTAACAGCCCAGGTGCAGAGGGGGTGCATGCACACCATCACCAGAAGATAACTATGACAAATGAACTTCTGTTTAGCAAAACATTGTTTTTTGAGCAAGATAAGGGAGAAGGCTGGTAAGAAGCAGATCCTGTGGAGCTGGGATAATGCTTTTTATCAAGCTAATGTCCTTCCTTACACAGTTGGCTCAGGTGTAAAACTCCTTCCACCCACACACCACCCACTCTCACCACCCCTCGCCTCACCTTCCCCCCAGAAGGTATTGGGATATTCAAATTAACACGTAGGCCTGAAGATGTTTATCCCTTCTGATGGGGCATAACTGGCCTGAGAGGCAGCTGTCATGTCTTAGAAGGTGTCATAAACCATCAATGACTAATTTCTGGGGCCTTGCACCAGAGACCACACATCATCCACCGTGTTACATCACACAGTGTAAAACCCACCCCCACTTCCAGGGGAGGTACCTGGGTGTTCCCACCTGAACCCAAACATATCTTAACCCATTGAACTTTATGTTGTACAGAGTTCCCCCAACCCCAACGGATCAAGACCACGACCCATCACCTTGACCAACATCTAAACTGCATCAAGCCCCATTACTGGATCAACAGCTGGTTGTATCTTTCCTCTCCACTACCTACTCTTATGTATTTTCATAAGTAGTTATCTTTATACTTTTATACTGTTTCATTTCTATAGATAGTAACCAAACCAGCTAAATAGCCCCTTTCCATTGCAACCAAATTGTTCTAAAATAAACCGTATATATATATTTATAAACACCATTCAGTGTTGTTCTATTCTAAGCCACCCCAAGGGATCTATTAACAAGATCTATTAACAAGAACCTTGGTTACCCCACGTTCAGGGATGGGTCCTGACAATGCCAGACCAGGTTCCCCAGCACCCCTGGCACAGACCATGGTGAAGCAGCTGTCCCCCTGCAGCCCATGGAGGTCCACAGTGGAGCAGAGATCCACCTGCAGCCTGTGGAGCACCCCATGCTGGAGCAGGGGTATGTCCAAAGGTGGCTGTGACACTGTAGGAAGCCCACACTGGAGCAGGCTCCTGGCAGGACCTGTACCCCCGTGAAGAAGAGTCCATGCTGGAGCAGGTCTGCTTACAGCACTTGTGACCCCATGGCAGACCCACACTGGAGCAGCCTGTTCCTGAGGGACTCCACCCCCTGGAAGGGACCCACAATGGAGCCATCTGTTTCTGAAGGACTGCACCCTGTGGAAGGGACCCTATGCTGGAGCAGAGGAAGCGTGAGGAACCCTCTTCCTGAAAAAGATGGAGCAGTGTAGTCAGCATGTGATGAACTGACTGCAGTTCCCATTCCTTGTCCATGTGCTGCTGGTGGGGGGGAGGGAGAGAAAAATCAAAAACTGAGCCTGGGAAGAAGGGAGAGTTGAGTGGAATCAACATTTGGTTTTATTTCTCATTTTATTTCTCATTATCATATGATATGACTGGTAATAAACTAAAGTAATTTACCCAAGTCAGGTCTGTAATGGTAAGTAGGTAACTAGATCTCTCCCTGCCCTTATCTCAACCCACAAACTGTTCCCTTGTATTTTCTCTTCCCTGTCCAGCTGAGGAGGGAAGTGATGGAGCAGCTTCGGTGGGCACCTGGCATCCAGCCAGGATCCACATGTAACACAAAAGACAGAACTTCCTGCAGAAAAGACGAACATTACTGTACTCCATTATCACCTTTTTATTGGTAAAAGGACAGATCTTGACAATGGGAAAAAAAGATGTTTCACATGGAGAACAGGAAGTAGCTTCTACTGGTCTTTCAATTCTTTCAGTCTTCTGATGGCAGATTTGACTGTCACTGCAGAGGTGGTACTGGAGGAAGAAACAGAGTCATTTGCATGTGGCAGCAGAACAACTGTGCCAGTGTTATCTTTTTTTTAAGAAAGCACAACTCATTTCGAATAGTTATCGTCTGATTGTGCTGTCAACAGGAGTCTAATTCCACTTCTATTTTCATGACAACAAAGCGTAGGCCTTGGCCTACAGAAGCACATGCAGCTTCACAGGCTACATCTTAACCCAAATTACCCAGTCATGCACCCACCACATGCACATGGTGTGGGCTCAGCTCCCTCACGACTGTTACATGTGGAGCAACAGTGTCTTCTGTGGGGGAAGGAGAGTAAAGAAAGGGAGTAAGCAAAAGCACCTGCACAATAAGGGCTGTCATGATTCAGTGCTTTTACAACAAAAGGAAAACATGGAAATAATTTTTTTTGGAGTAAATCTGGTTTTGCCTATTGCAAAGAATAGCAATCAAATACAATTTGATCCACTGCAATAAAATTTTAACAAAGCAGGCAACACCTCCCATGTCACTAACTCAACACAGATCTACTTAATGGTTAGTAGATTAAAATTAAAAAAAAGATAAAAAATCAAAAGCTGTATTATGCCTCAGCTACACAAGAATAAATGCTGATAGGAGTTTCTTCATTTCCTTACTTGTAAGTCCAGGCACCACCAGCAACTGTCTTCATGCAGGATCCGCAGTGCCAGATACCCACAGCCTTCCTCTTCATTTTGGTCTGCAATAAAAGGGGGAGAAAAAAAAATCACTCTCTATCAGCTGAAAAAGTCAAACAACCAACTTCAGGCGAGGACTTCAGCATCACACCACAGCATTCCTATAAGCCTAGTTAAGACAAGCAAGGATCAGGGAATCTTTTTACTCTGATTCTGCAGAACAGGGGAAGTCCACCTGAAACACTTTTTCATTCAGATATAAAGTGCATCTTTTCTAAACGCATCATCAAAAATTCAGCTCTTTTTGAAGGAGAAAAATACTAAGGAGATACCTTGGTCATAGTAACTGATACTCTAACCTGGATTTGGTGACTAATGTGACACCACTGTTCCCAGTAATCCCTGGACAACCCAAGATTGTTGTAAACCAGATACCCTTCAAACAGCATCTAAAGAGTGAGTGGTGGGTCTTGAACTCCTCTCTCCTGGGCAAGTATCCCTCACCTTGCAAAGGTGTCAACAGGTTTGCCTAGACCTATGCCTGATCTAGGCAGCTCTGCAAAGGGGGTTATCAACATTCTCGCTTCACATGACAAAGATACCAAGTTAAAAAAAAAACAACGCACAAAACCAATAACAAACCAACACCCCCCCAAAAAACTCTGATGAAAATACTTTTAAATTCCCAATCACTTACAGATACCTACTCTACAGATAACAATAAAAAAATATCTGGGCAAAGCACAAGCTGATGGGCCTCTTAAACTGTTGAAAACCAGACTGAACAGTGAATTCTGATTATGTGCATGAGCAGGTAAGATTACTGCTTATCAGAAATTCTTCCCCCTCCACAGTTATATGGCACACAAAAGTATGCAACTGCCATCAAGAGTTTTAAGTGGGAAAAAGCAAGCTCTCTTCCTCCTCCAGGTATGCTGTAAAGCTACTGAAGGAAAATAAAGGCTCAACTCATGTGTTAATTATCAAGATAACAAGTGTGACGCTTTAATTCTGTCAGATCTATTTTATTAGAGATGTAATGGCAACGCTGCTCAATCTTTTGCATAATGAAACATAATTTATGTTTGTTTTCATTTAAGTACCACTAAACATGCATGTGAAATGTATATTATTGTCTTTTTCATGGATTCTGACAGTAGGCCAAAGCTCACTTATACACTAATCACTGTCTCAAAACTCCTGAAGCATCAAATTGCCTTTCTAGCACCAGAAACAATATGATTCTTAAAGATTTTTTCGAGGTAAGGAGATCTCTCACCTTGCCACAGAAGGAGCAGGTATACTTGGCATGCTGGCTAATTTCAATCTTCTTCACCATTTTCCTAAGGGATGCACCATAACGGGTCCCATATTTACCCACAATCCCGACCTTCTTGGTGCGCTTGGCCTGTTGGGAGGCAAACCACAGTAAGCTTCAACTTTACAGAGACGGCCATCTCCTCAGCTGCTTCCTTCTCCTGTCACAGCAGTGACCTAAACTGGGGCTGCTGCCTCCCGCCCCCATTGTAAAAAGTGACTGTTCACAGAATGGGTCAGGTTGGAAGGGACCACAGTGGATCATCTGGTCCAACCTCCCTGCTCAAGCAGGGTCATCCCAGAGCACATGGCACAGGACTCTGTCCAGATCGTTCTTGTGTATCTCCAGTGAGGGAGACTCCACGCCCTGTACTGGGCAACCTGTTCCAGCGCTCAGTCACTCGCAAGGAAGTTCTTCCACGTATTCAAGTGGAACTTCCTGCGCATCAGTTTCTGCCCGTTGTCTCCTGTCTATTGCTCGGCATCACCGATTAGAGCCTGGCTCCATCCTCTTGGCACTGCCCCTTTAGATATTCATATACATTAATGAGAATCCCTCCCAGCCGTCTCTCCTCGAGGCTGAACAGGCCTAACTCCCCTCAGCCTGTCCCCGTAAGGGAAATGTTCCAGTCCCCCAATCACTCTCTCTGCCCTCCACTGGAGCAGCAGTTAGGAAATGACGCCAGGCTGCCGCAGCCTCAGCCTCCCTCACAGCTTCTGCCGGCAGTGTAGCCGCCAGGCCCAAGCACAGCCCGGCTCTCTCAGGAGCACTGTGCCGCCCGATTCACCCCCGCGGCCCCTCACGGTGCAGCCGCTGCGAGCCAGGGGCCGGCTTGTCCCCGCTGCCTCCCCGGTCGCCCTTCCCCGCTCCCGGGCCGCCTCCCCGCGACCGCCCAAGCGCACCGCGCCGCTGTGGCAGCCCAGCGTGGGACCGCGGCCCGTTGGGGGACACGGCGCAGAGCCGGGCCCGGCCCCGAGGGCTCAGCGCGGCCGCCCCGGGGCGGATGGCGAGGGATGGCGGGGGATGGCGGCGGACGCGCCCCGGCCACACTCACCATCTTGCGCCGGCGCCGACGGGGAGAAGGATCCCGTGCGCAGGTCCGGGCGGAAGTGACGCGTAGATCCGGGCGGAAGTGACGGGCAGGGCCGGGCCGGGGTGGGTCCCGCTGTCCCCCTTGGAGACACCCCCTGCACGGGAGCTCCCCTGAACAAGAGGGGCGAGCGCTCCCTGGAACAGATTTCCTGGAGAGGTTGTGGAGTCTTCCTCACTAGCCCTACACAAGAACTGTCTGGATGCAGTCCTGTGCCCTGTGCTCTGGGATGACCCTGCTTGAGCAGGGAGGTTGGACCAGATGATGCCCCGTGGTCCGTTCTGTGACACTGTGGAACCCAATGTGAGAGCCAAGCGGTATATGAGCCATGAGCCCCAGCACTGCCGGAGGGTGTTGGAGCGCGAGGGCTCAGAGTCCTGGGCTTCCACCCAGGGAGGTCCCACCAGGATAGGAGATGGGGCAGTTACATTCACTGACTTCGTTTTTAAAGAGAAAATAGTAAATAGATGTCAGAATTAAAACAGGAACAGAAAACCTGACTGGAACTGCAGAAAGATGATGATGATGATTTATCAGTGAGGACAAATTCTCATCTTGGAACATACCAGCCCTTAACCAAAAGGTTTCAAGATAACCTGACCTGATGGAACCAAGGCAACTTCCTAATTTCCTCAGGGTTATCTACTGTTGAGACAACCAGCCCTGAAAGCCTTTGTGTGTCGATGCAGAGGTGGCTCTCAGCACCCAGACAGTACCCCCAGGTGTTTGGGGAACTGGAGGCATCTCCACCACCAGCACCAAAATGTGGTGTCAGCAAAACGTACCAATGCCAGTGAGCTGCAATGCTCATATGAGGATTAGCAACCCATTAACCTCCATTAAGAAATGTAATTAGTTAGCCCAAGAGCTTTTTAATGTAAGATCCAGCTATAGCTCACCCCCTCCTGCCAGGAAAGAGCCAGAGCTTCCCAGTCCACCTGGAGAAACCATCTCCAGGTGCTTTTTGCAGGTGCTTTTCCTCCCTTCCTGACAGCTCCATACCCACCCTGGCTGCCTTGATCCATGACAGCCCTCCTCTTCACTTGCAGTCTATTTAGTTAGTAAGGAATTAATGAATCAAGTGTACCCTGCCACTGTGTTAGTCTTTCCCTGGCTGGGGACTGTACTTTCAGAGATGCTCACAGACAGATGCTGCATCCCCTCTTGGCTCTTGCTTTGAGGGTTTGCACACTCATAGTTTTAATTTTCATGCCGGGCTCCCCATTCCCTGATCATCCCTGTAAGCTCTTCTCCTGGGAGCTGGTAGGCCAGAGCCATGTTCCAGATGAGGGCTCAGCAGGGCTTTAGGCAACGGTATTTATATCTCCCTGTGCTGAGTCAAAATCTCATTTGATATATCCTAGGAATATATTTGCCCTTTTCAGATCCTCATCATAATGATGACTCACAGGATACAGCTTTGATACCGACGTATTAGAAGATTAAAAAAAAAGGGAGGGGGGAAGAAAGTAAAAAGTTCCTTTGGCTGCTTAGGGATTATATGGTTAAAAAAATATAAAGTGTCAGCCAACACATCCAGGACAGAGAATCTACTGCTATTCTCCGGTCTGTATCTACAGAGTTAAAAGTTTTCTGTGAGAGTATAGTGCATGGTCATACCCTTCATCTACCAGTGTTACAGACAGCTGTAGCAACAACTAAACCCAGCCCCCTCGGATGACAGCCATTCCCAGCACTGCCAGAGTAAACACAGTTTCCAAGTGACTGAGAAGATAATGGATGCAGACAGGCCAGCTTGGCTTTACTTTGATAGTCCACTGCCTTGAACTCTTCAGCACATGAAGATGGCCAGCCTGGAGATTTAGTTTGAACTGCTCCAGCTTACTGTTCAGGTATTTTGACCTGTTGTTCCTGGTTTGGCATCCTTCTTGAAAATGCACCTTTCTCCAGTGTGGGTGGGAGCACTGATGCAGATGTACAAGCAGGCGTCCAGCCACAGCAAGATGCTCCAAGGTCCAGTAAGATGGGTCCTTCCCTTTTCTCTGCTGGGCTTTAGATAATGCCAAAAAGCTGTGTCATCTTCAATGGGCAGGTGCAAGAGTCCCCAAGAGTGCTGCATGTTCCCAAGTCTGCCTGTGGGTCTGTCAGCCTGCACATTACCTTGTACACGGTCTCTTCAGCAAGCCTTGGAGATCCTGTCTGAGCCTGCTGGCAGCTGCCCAGCCACCTCCTCACCATATTAATGATGGACTAATGGTGCAGTTGGGATAAGGCTTGCACAGTCTCTCCAATTCCTTGAAGTAATCACTAAAAGCACTTTCCTGCAAGATTCTTCTCCCCTTTTTCATCTAGTAAGGATAAAGCGAATCTCAAGTGTACTTCAAAAAAACCTCTGTATCTCTGCAGCAAACCAGCTGAGATTTTATGGGTCCTAGCAAAGGAAGAGTACACCTAGCATTCCTCTAACAGGCTGGGATTTATCAACATATGGACAAGATAAATAGAGTTCATGAGAAGCAGAATTCTCCAAGGGTACTTAGAGCATATTTCAGAAAAATACTGTTTTGAAATAGTTGTAGCTTTACAAAGAGGAAAAGAACTACTCCTATAGGAGAAAACAATATGGGTATACAAATAATGTATTCCATATTTTTTTTCAGTCAGCAGACAGCAGCATTTCTCACCCCTTACTCACAACAACCCACTTTGCAAGTAGAAAGATCACTTGTCTTACAGACAGATTGAATACTCTGTGTTCAAGATGACAGGCATTTAAAAATGGCAGAAAGTATCTTTATTTCCTGGCCAGCTGTTGAAGCAAGAGCAATGATGTTTAGCTCTCAGCCTCAAACCCAAAGATAAAGCATTTCCTCCAGTAGCCCAGTCACACAACCCTCACTGCTGCTCTCACACCCCAAAGCACCTTCTGCAGTCATGAATGAAAAGCAGTTCTCCACCCAGCACAACTGCATACGCAGCCTGTGGGGCATTTCCATGACGACAATTGCTGCAAATGGAATAATCAAACCCTTCAATGCAGGAAAAAATATCTACTATTACCAGGTTGATCTTGCAGCACAAACATTCTTCTCCTCTGCCGTGGAGGAGAGATCTTTTTGTCAGTGTCTGGTATCTGCACAGAGCCAAGCATGCCACCTGCACAGCATATTAGCTCCCGGCCTTCAGGAGCTAAGTGTAAGCCTTCAGTTTGCTTTTCCCCCATACTTCTCTAGAGATTATGGCTGTAAAACATAGATAACTGATACATTTGTGAAATTATATCTTCTCCTGTACTCCCTGGTCACATTGGCTTAACACTAGCCCATTTCCAAGTATCTTCTAGGACTAAGAGCAGAAGCATGAAAGACATTAATCTGGGGATCATGCTACACCACCCTGGCAATAATACACAAAACCAAAATAAAAACTATGCAGAGATGCCTAAGAATACTAGTTGTGATAAACAAAGCCACTTGCTTTTACATCAAGCCCACATCAAAAGTGGCCTCTAGAGTTTTTGCAGAGGCATCACCTCTGTGAAGTGGAATCAGGCCATGCCCAAGGGACAGCAACTGTGTCACAAGCTCCTGAAAGGAACCAAAGACCAGGTTTGCTCAGGTGCCATTGAGGCTGGGAGGTCAGGCATCCCAGTTCACAGGACTGAGAGCATGGTAGAGACTATCACAGATCAAAAAAAGGCATTTTAATCACTGCATCAAACAACAGTGCTGCTTTTGGCATTCTTAGTGTAACCTGCACAGAGCTGTAATGGGAGCAAATAACAGGTCCCAGGATACCAGCCTAAACATCTTATGGAAGTAACTCTTGATTCACCTATAAGCAAAGTATCATGAGAGTTTCCCATTTGAAAGTTGATGTGTTTTAGAAAGCAGAAAAAGGACATATCTTTCAGACACTGTAAGTACTTTTAAGAAAATGTTAATATTTCCACTGCATCACATACTTCTCAAGCTTAAGGTCCAAATGGGAGATGAAATGCTAAAACAGAAAAAGTATCAAAAGCTTGGGAACCACAATTTAAGAAAAACTTTTTATTTAAACAGTTTAGTCCAGAATCAGTGTCTTACAAAACAAGAGCAAAACTCTGCACATGTCCCCCTCTCCTCACTCACCTGTAGAAATTAGTCTTGAGTCTTGAAGAAAACACACACACCCTCCCTGAGAAGCCAGACTTAATCCCTGGCAGTTAGCACAAGCTTTATTCTCTACTGACACAAGAAACACACGCCATGGAGCAGCTCTTAAGATTCAGCAGATGAGGTCAGAGAATGAGAGTGCTCAGGCAGATGTGCCTATCAGGCAATGCACACTTCCTGGCATACAGTTATACTGCTTAGTTTCAAGGTACCAACTGCTCTTTTCCCTTGTCTTCCCCACATCCACAAAACATCAAAATCTGTCTGGATCTTTTTTCCTCATGGCCAAATGGAATATCAGAAAGCCAGTTTGTGAGCGACCCAAGTAGGAACTAAGTTTGCTGGTGAACCAACTCATATAAACATAGGCTAGAACTCTTGGAGATGGAAGACTGATTGTTAAAAGCACTCTACAGCTGCTGAGGAGTTGGTTTTCACGACAGTTCTGCCTTGTGGACAGACAACTGTTACCTGCTTTTTAAACCAAACAACTGTGGAAGCCAACATGCTGAAACACAGCAGCATGCTACTTGCCCATGGCCATTCAGTCATCAGCAAACCCGAACTGCAAAACCTGCAGGCTGCCAGGTGTGCACTGCACATCTGTCAGACTGCCTTCTCATTGTTTGAGATGAAACATGCTAGAGATACAGAAAACTTAAGTCTTTTATTTTTGAAAACTGAAAAATAAAACTTGATTGGTTTTTTCTTTTTTAATTAAAAAAGATCTCTTAGTTGCCATCTCTTTTGCTGTCACCATTACACTTTAAAAAACTCCTCAATACGCCGCTTTTTTTTGGGACTCACTGAACATGTTTTTGCTTCTTTATCTTGCAAGACACTGTCAGAGTCAAACTCACAGCCAGCATCAGCTGCCTCCAAAAGCAAAGCATCATCAGCATCATCTCTGCTCTCAGAGAAGGTCCTCTGGAAAAGGTCATAGATGGTCTGCTGCTTTGGATCAGGCTGAGAAAACAGAACAGACAGAGTCTGCATGGACATTGTCATATAAAACCTAGTGAGCAACAATCACAGGATGCTCCCCCCAAGACAGTGCATTTTTGTGTACAGATCGTACTGTGTATGATACACACACACATAGATCTCATACATATATATACACTCAAAGACATACAAATAATATGGAGGCTAACACATCTCCTTGCAAGCAGCAGGTTTGGAACATCTCTGTGGAGGGTCTAAGTCAAGACATGGATCTTGGGAGGTGCTGGAGAATCTGGTCCATAGCATTAAAGGCAGAACAGGTGTAAGGTCAGCCTGCCAATCTAGATTACACAAGCCAAAACCTGTTCAGCCTCTCCCAGGGACCACCAATATTCTTTCAGGTCAATTACCTTAGGACAGTAATTAGTGGACTCAGCTGTTTCAGAGAAATTGGTTTCTGAAAGACCAGCTTCGCCCAGCACTTTGATCTTCTCTTGAATCATTGGCCTAGGAGAGATAAATGGATTATTACTGAAAGGAAAAAAGCATCATCAAGGACACTGTCCTTTACTATGTGTAGATGAAAAAACGATATAACCAGGTATAAAGATGTTTTTTCTACCAATGCCTGTTGGTTCCTTAACCTGTCCTGCTCCTGTTTATGATGACTGTATGCTGTCTTGGGGTATCAGTCAATCCAGTTTAAACAAGTATCAATCAATTATCTAAGTAACAAGAAGAGGATTTAGGGCTATAAATATTTGGAGAACACACATATCCAACAGGGAAAGTAGTTGACTAAGGCAACACCAATGGTATGAAGCCAGAACAAGAAGATGCAGCTAAAGGGACTCTCAATAGCCTGTGTGTTCAGTCTCCAAGGCAAGCAGTGGTAATCCCCAACAACAGACACATCAGCATTTCAAGGATAATTCCCAGTGTACAGCAGGAGGAAGAATCCATCACTGGCCCAAGAGGCAGAGAGGTCCCAGCTGCGCCTGCAGACCAGACACTTTGAAAGGCACAAAGGCCATGGCACAATTAATGCATTAACCAAATAGCCTTGTCGTCTTGATCTTTTTCTCATCTTTAAAAAGAATACCACTGTCCTTTCAAGAGCCATATTTCCTTCCCATTAAGCACTAATGACTGCACAGACAGCATTTCACAAATAAAGGCAAAATTACTGTCATTAACTTTCCATGAAATTTAGGCAATGCATCAGTTTCCAGATCCCTGCATTGTAGGGTTATAATTATTTGCCATCATGATATTCTGGGAACTGCACAAGTTCACTGAGTTCATTCGTTCCTTTAAACAAGGTAATAAAGATGTAATTTTGGACTTTAAATGAACCAGCTGGTGGATAATTTCTTTTCATCGTTTGCAGGTCAGTTCCCTTGCAGCACTGAAGACTCCTCAGATCGTCCCCACCCCCAGATGTCAGCTTCCCCAGCCCTAAGGACTTGTGTCCACTGATGACCCTCACAGCAGCCAAAGAGACTCATACCACAACTATCCAGAGGTGGGTCAGTGGCACTTTTTTAATCCATCTGAAGGACTCACTGAAGAGCAAGAGGACAGCAACAGTACAGTCCTCCTTCACAGCTCCCTGTCCAAGCACTCAGAAGCCAGGTTGCTCCTCAGACCGAATTTACAATACACTGAACCATCTCCACTGTCTGCTGACTTTGCTTGAAAATACTCAGCATTTTACAGTACCCTAGCATAGGAATGTTATCTAAGACAACTCCTTCTCCTTATACAGAGGCTGTAATGGTTTTAGATGCATCACCTCCTCCAGAATTTCTCTTAAGGGCCTTTTCTTTGTCAGGTAACTACTTTTATTCCTTCTGCTTGTCAGCACTTAGTCATGTCCACTGCAACCAGGCCATGTCTCCAGCTCACAGCAGACCCGACTGGCACTTTTTGCTCCTCCCCTCACAGGCTGTGGAAATCACTAACATTAAGCACCTCAGATCACATATGTGACAAACAGCGGAGAGCAGGTGGCAGGAGAACCAAAGCGTCTTTCTCTCTTCTTACCATAAGTAGTCATCTGCTGTGCCTCTAGCCACCAGGTAGTGAACATTAACAGAGCTGGTCTGTCCAATTCGATGTGCCCGATCTTCTGCTTGGATCAAAATCTTAATGTAAAAACATGACAAATACAAAGTGAGAACTGCAGCATCTAAGAAATAGTGTAAGCACCAGGGGAGGGAAGATCTCATTTCCTGTGCTTAGCAACTGTTTCTTATCTGGATCCTGTTAACACCTGTATCCTCAAACACAGACTAAGCCAAGAAGTAATCTGGTACACCAGGTCCCAGCATCTTTCAAAAGTAGAGGGTCAGCATTGATGATGGACCCTTTCAGATCTTGGTTTGGCGAGCTGTTAAGAGCTCTGTCAAATTAAGAAACAGGAGCATGTTTCCTTTTCATGCTATCTTCTCCAAGCCAGCAAGCTGTGTAACCAGATTCACTGGTTCAAGCCCAGGCACCTGAGGTTGCAGAGATAGGAGACATCAGAGAAAGCAAGAGAAAAACCCTAGAGAAAGTCCCCTGCCCATTATATCTCCTAACAGCAACATTTCTGCTCTCCAGGGAGCATCCAACCCCTGTCCCCTCCAGGACGCTTACCCCTGGGTTCCAGAAGAGCTCTGCAAACACCACCAGGTCGGCAGCAGACAACGTAAGGCCCATGTTTGCAGCAGTGAGGGAAAGGACAGCCACAACCTGCTTCTCTGAGAACTGGAACTTTTGGCACAGAGACTGCCGCTCGACTGAAGGTGTGGAGCCGTCGATGCGAATGTACTCAACATGCTGTGAAAAGGCACAAGGTACTGTTTAGAGATCTTCTGTCCCCTTTCCCGTATACTCCTTCCATGTCTTAGTGGATACCATTTACCTTCCCCATGGCAGAGTCAGAAAAGTAAAAAGGCAACAGTTATATTTTTAAGACCTTTCCTAATCTTTCAGGCAGAAGCACTGTAGCTCAGTATACAACATACCTCCCCGCTGTCCAGTGTGTGACTTGCTCCCATGCCCATTCTTCTCCCAGAGTCCAGCAAAATAGGAAGGACAGCAACAAGCTCAAGTACAGTGGAAAGGCAACTAGCCTAATACAAAGCTAACCACTGTCTCTGTGCTGAAGTTACAGCTGGTACAACCTCCCCAGCCTCCCTAAGTATTCCCCCATTTGCAGTGGGAGGAGATGTGAAGACATCTCAGTTGCTCTGTGGCAGGCTCAGGACAGGCATGGCAAACCTGTGTGATGCAGGGCCATAACTCTTCAGTGTCCAGTGCTGTCATAGAGCAAAGTCACCACTGCCAACTGTGGTTTACAGGTTGGAATATTATCTTAAACCATTCTTCGCACTGCCCCAGAAGGACCCGCAACTCTTTAGGAGCATCCATGGAAGTCTCAAATGAAAAATTAGCCAAACAACCTTGGAGTCAAGAAAGATGATTTGCAGGTCTGCTGAGTCTCCCTACAGTGTTCCAGTTCAAAAACATAAAAGCACCACAGAGGTAAAGGCAGGCAGCCATAGTGGGCTTGGGTTGTCGCATTCTGCCTCTGAGGAAAGCCTGGAGGACAAAGCAGAGACTGCCACACAGGGTAATAGTCCTCCAGGAATTCACAAGGTCTGGGGAAGATGATGGAGATTAAAGAACATTAATACAAAGTGCATTCTGTGAGGCATTCACCCTGACAGCTCAGCTCCCTTGGTGAAGGGCACATTCAGAAGCACAGCAAGTAGAAATTATCTCTGCCACTAACTTTCATAAACTATCTGACCGGCCATAACTCCAGGGAGCTCTTAAACAGCTCTGAGGCTGGAACAGTGACAAAGTTAAGGCAACTCAGTCAGTCACTTACTTTCTTCTCCAGCTCTGCAACAACTGCATCCAGCATTATCTTGTGATGAGCAAACACCAGGAATTTATTATTCCCACTTTCCAGTAACTCCAGGATGTATTCTCTACATGGAAGAGGAAAAGTATGAAAACCCTATAAAATTATGTGCTGAGACAATACAGACATGGCTCTTTGAAGACTCTGCTCATCTACACACAGGCACTAGGAAACTGGCTAGCATAAAGAAAGCTGCAGTAAAGTGCAAGTAGCAAGTCAAATCTCCTATAGATTAAAAATTACATTGAAGGAAAATTCACTCATTTTTTGATCACCACACCTGAACAGCTGCCTACATTTATACTTGGGGACTAATGAAAATTAGTTTATTATATCCTACTTGAAACATGACATCCCAGACCAATCAACTGAAGGTCATCTACACTTAATGACAATCTCACCCATCCGTATTTCTAACTTTTAAACAATCACAATACAGTAAAATATGCTGTATGCAATTATACTTTCTGCATTTAGTTAGGATTGTTTTTATTTTAGAAGATCTCTAAACACATAGATCAGAATATCCTAAAAGTACCCTTCTCGCAAGGGTTCACACTGACAATTTACTCCAGTTTAACAATCTAAATACATCAGCTATTTCTAGGAGTTATCCATATGCATGCAGGCTAATGGCCAATGAAAGGCAACAAGTCTCCTTTTAAATGCAGTTAAGAGGTGTTAATTAAATGAAAACATCTGGCTTTTCCCATGGACTAATAGCAAAGCTACAGAACCCATGTAGTAACCTGTGTTACAGTCAGGTCAGCTGGAGCCTATACAGATGACACAAATGTCATCTTTTCTTTGGAATAGCAAAATTGTTACAAAGATCAGGAATACCAAGTTCTTTGCTAAATACAACATAACTTAGGTCAGCAGTAACTGTCAGAAAACACCAGGCAGGATTTCCAGTGCTGTATTAAGATTTATCAGTTCTTTGCAGACAACCCCCAGGGTTCATGATGTTCAGATCCCAGTTAATGAGAGTATCATTTAACAAAGAAATCTGGGAGGGAAGTGGGACTGCGGATTTTAAAACAAACATCAAAGCAAACATTCAGTGTAGTAAGCAGGTGCCAACCAACACATCACAATTATTTTAATACCTCATTCCCATACTCCATTTAACAAATGGCAAGTCACTTCAATGGAAGCAATGGAAGACCTGTCAACAAGGGTAAAATATGGGAAGTGCTGATGATCATAGGACAGTACCATTTCCTAGATGGTACTGTACCTTAGCAGCTTATAGTAAGTGATATTTTAAATGCTCCTAAACCCTAGAAAAAAAATGGACAAGTTCCCACCAGAGAGTCAAGTAAACAACACTTCATGGTTTTATATTCAGTTCATATTTGCAACTGAAATAAAAACAAGAAAGTCTTCCAACTGCTCACTAACATAAAAGGAAGAAACTCTTCTACAGAAATGAGCACTGGGACACTGAAGTGCAGTTCTGTGCCAAACAGGCAAATTTTGCAACAAGGTCTGAGACTGTGAAATCACACAGTGCACATCAGCTGGTCCTTACATTTAGAGAGCTGTGGAAAGTAAACTGTTTTCATGTTATTATCATACTGCTTATTAGAAAGTTACGCTAAATGACCTAAAGCAACTCCTTTGCAGCCCCAGCAGAAAGGCTAAGGATGAATGGGCATAGAAAGTCACAGAAGGAAATTACTTCTAGGGAAGAGAGTTAGAAGCACACCTATGGTACAAAACTCGCTACTGAGGTCCCATGTGAGCCCTGTGGAACAGCCAAGAATTTCCGTAGGGGCTGTGAGATTCCTCGAGCACATTCCAACTAAAGTTCAGTCTATCTCAGAAGCTTTTTGATTCAGGGTTCCTGCTGCAGCAGGACTGCAGCATTTGTCTCCTCAAATTCTGTTGGTACTTGTAAGTTTCATTGCTCCCTCCCTCCTTAAACTGTAATAGGGTCCGGATCAGGGAACTTGGTCCAAGTCCCAAACACCAAGTAATTTTAGATGGTTCAAATGACAGTTTAGATCCATATCTGGAATGAAATCAGAAGACTTATTCAGCCTAGGAACTCTGAGAGGAGAAAACGTTTAGTGCACTGTAATTAACATCAATTTTTTCTAGGCTGACTTTAGGCTATGCTTCATGTCCCTGCACTATCTCTAAGGCACTGTTTCCTGTTCTCAGCAGACAAACACATTTCACAAGGCAGGAATGGAGCAGTGACACACATCTTACATGACTGAGCGGATTTTAGCTTCTGCCGTTCTGCTGAAGAAGACGAGAAGAGCTTCCTTCTCCTGTTGTTTCTGTAAAGAGAAAGACAAACGAATTTGAGTCTCAAAAATGCCTTTTCTCCTTCTTGCTCACAGATCTGGGATATCTGCTGCTGCCAATAAACACTTTGCTAGGAAAAAAACAACATAAAATGCACAACAATAGAAGTCTGGAGGGGGAAGTCTCCTACTCACCTCTGGGTATGGCAGATACTCACACATTCCTGACACCTCCCTTTCTACCTCCTACTCAACTCCTACAAGTTGGATGACAAGTATATCACAAATGCAGCTTTAGTTGAGAAGCAGCAAGGAAAATCTCCCAAGTTCTTACAGAACTGTATTAGCAACCTAGGAGCCTAGAACATGCATTTACCATCCATACATGGAAAACAAACAAGAGAAGTAAAAACACACTCTTCACATTTTTGGCTACTGCTCTGTTCACAACACAGCTTAAACAAGGCTGTGTTTTGATAGGCTGAATGAGATTACAGGGCTAGACAGAAGAGTAAGTACAGAGGCAAGAGGTCTGAAAGACAATTAGAAATTATTAACACAAGAGAAAAAAAAGAGAGGAAATGGTATTTCACACAAAGGGACAAAGCAGACCACTTACATCAAAAGCAAAACAAGATGAGCCGTTTTGATTGTGCTGTACATTCACTTGAAACTGTGCCTTCACATAAGGTGTGGCTCCGACCTTCTTTGGAACTCAGGTACTGTTTTTAGCTGAATTTTAGCTGGTTTTACTGTTTTTGAATAAAGGTACCTGAAATAGCAATGGCTCATCACAAAAATAGTTTCTGACTTACACTTTTATATCCTTTGGCCATCCTCTTTGCTTCAGCTTCCAAGACAGCTTTGGTCTTTGCATTAATGCCTTCAGGAGCCACCACAACCATTTTGCGTTGCTTTGCTGGAAGCTGGGAAAGTACATCTGATTTCAGACGTCGGATCATGATGGACTCTTCCAGCAAAATTTTCAGTTCAGTTAAGTTGGATGATCCAGAGTAGTCCCAACCCCACGGCATCTGGGAAAGATCAAAGCAGTTATCAACGTCAAACTTACAAGAAACTGGTCTGCAGGCAATCCAAAAGCAGAATAAATGTCCCAAGAAACTGGACAAGGTAAGAACTTAAGGGTCAGGAGGAAGAGACATTTGATAAAAATGGCAGTAAGATAGAAACATACAAACTAATCCACCCAAGGTGAAAAGGTTACTTACAAATTCCCCTATCTACAAGTGCTCAGGGAGGTGTAAGGAAGAGGACTATGCAGAAAGGTGGCAGGGATCCCTACTGCAGCACTATGCCCCAGTATTCATCCTCACACAGAAAGGTGCTGCTCTCCACTTGCAGGTTTGAGCAGGCCAAGAGAACTCAATGCAGTTCTGTGCATGCACATTTACCTCAGCTTTAAGCAGAGAGACACAGAAAAATCTTCTCTAACAGCATGAGGACAAACATCCTTAACCAAGATGCCTTCACAGAGTTGTTACACTTGTCTGTGCCAGGTCAAAATTGCCTGTATTCCACTATGACCTGACTCTTGATCCACTTCCTGACATACTCTGTTTCTGCTATTACATGTTTGGTTCAAACTCAAGCAAATCATAAATAAACTGTGGCCCAAAATACATCACTCTAAACACTGTCTCTTCAAAGTATCATCATTTCAAAGCTCCTCTGAACAAGCCCTTCATTTACTCCTTGAAACACTCCCCTCTAAACCCTATCCTCTAAGATCCTGTCTGCAGGCAATACACATCTGTTCAATTAATCTCAGCTCATCACTTCTCCTACTTGTAATTCCACAGCCTATCATTTGTTCTCTGAGAAAGAACAACTAAGCTGACCCACAGTGGCATCAAAATTGGTACATTCCCCAAAAGAAGCATCTGTAAACAACTTTCTTTTGGAGAAGAGGTTTTAATGCTGAAGCAAAGGCAAAAGAAAAACCTTTCTTCTGAAATTTCACAAATAAGGGCAGGAAATACAGCTACAGTAATACTAAAAACCAAGGTGGGGAGGGAGGTGAAATCTTCCTCACAGCTCTAATTCCAAGTCATATTGGCAGCGTCCAAAAATACAACCTCTGGTCTTGGAATAACAATCCAAAGTAAACCACTGCATATGGATGCAAATTTGTTCCTGAGATGCATACAATGGAGGTGTGGGGAGCCTCAGCACCAACCCCTTTGATCTACTGCTCTACTCTTATTGTGTCACATTATTTGCTAAAATAGATTTAACCTTAAAGATCTATATCTCTTTTATTTGTCTTCCCCAAGAGAAACCTGCTGCAACACAGAAATGGAAGTAAAATAGAAAAAAGCTCTAAAGTATTCACTGCACCCTCCATCCTCTCACAGAATGCATGAGACAAAAAACAAATCATACTAACCATGGGGTTAGTCACATTTCTGACTGTATTAGAGGTGGTGCTTTGATGAAACAGAGATGAGAACATGCTGTGGGACAGGAAGAGGAGCAATTGAACAGCTTATAGGCAAGTAAGACCTCTGATATCTGGAAGTGAACATTCCTACTTCAGGTTGAGATAAAACAGGACAATCTGCAGTTCTATTGCCATGTTGTACTGATGTGAACCATTAACTGACTTCAGATTCTGGAACTTATGGCCACCATTAAAACTCATTTGACTTAATCTATTCCTACATAATTATGGTACCATCTGATTAGCTACAGTTGGTTCATTTAAGCAAGAAACAATTCAAACCCCAGACACAAAGCCATTTTAAATCTTGTAGAATTAAAACTTTGGCTCTGACAACAGCACACTGGTGTACAGCTAGAGGTAATAAGCCCACCTGGATCTCAGCCAACCCCTCAAAAAGCCAACATGGGTATCACTGCTCTGCTTCCCTGAAACTAGAAATGCAAGATACATCCCTCAGGTCTGTGAAGAGCCAGCTCAAGTCTAGCTGGGCTTATTAGCTTTAGGCACTCTGCAGGAAAGCTGACATTGCTAAGCCACAGTCTTTGTGCTCCCTTTCTGCATTACTTCAGGCTCCATGGGCCCAGCAGAGCAGCTGTACAGAACGAAGGAGGAACCACTGGGCTGTGCCCAGCCCTCTAAGCCCACTGCCCACACTGCTCAGTGCACTGGTAGCTACACTGTAGAGATAACTCAGATTAGGCTACTCAGCAAGACCTACTGCGGGGTCTGGACTCTCCTCAGGCTGCCTCATTCTACTTATGGAGCCCATGTTTGTCCACTTTCCACTTCCATAACAAGCAAGTAATACATATGCTTTGTGTCCATGTAGCCCAATTCATTTCAGAAGAGCAACATCATCATCAGAGAAAGAACAAGGCACACAGAGAGCCAATATACCATCTACTGAGATATTAAAAAGCTCATACAGGCAGAGTGCCTACAGTACATTCAGATTATATATTTCTTTCATTGTGCTGGAACAAGTTGCAAACAAGGAAACATGCTAGCTCTGTGCTGCACCCAGTGATAAAAAGATAATTATTTTTGGAATTATTAGAATTAAGTTTAGTATACCCTATTGTGGAAAAGAAAAGAGAAAAAAAGAGGGACATTTATTTTGCCAAAATACACATCTGGCTTTGATCCATAACATTCCAGAACACATGCTTCCAACTGTGATTTTCTTACCAAACTGTTACAGCATCTTACATCAGTCAGTAAACTTATTACAGTGTTAGCAGAAGCTGCCAAACTCTTACAAATTCAGAGCATGTGCTCAGATAGAAATTATTTAATATTTGCCAACATCACCCAGTTCGAAAAATGAATTCACAGCATGTATCTTGGGAAACAGACTTGAGATAGTTTGTAAATAACAGGTAACATTTCACTTGTATTTTTAAGAATACAGATGCTGGGAGGTTGAATTACAAAATTATAAACTTTAATATCTTTTCTAATAAAATCTGCCAGATATTTGTAATTTTCTGTCATAAAACCTACTATCTTGAAACAGAAACTAGTCAGGCTTTAGTTTTAGGTTGAATGGTTCGGGTTCGCCAATTTTTCTTTAATCTTATAATGCAATCAGATTTATTATTAATACCACAACATTTTTACATAGCACCTTTCATCCTGACAGATCTTCAAAAGCCTTGCAAAACCTCTCTGGTTCTGTGCAATTCCATCTCCACTCATAAAGCTGCTATTTTCAGGACAGAAAGAAGGACATATTTAAGTAATGACAGCAGAAATACCACAACAGTTCTACAGAGAGGATGTAACTCCTAACACAGTTTCAGGATAGAGCTGCAAAAAGGAACATGAGGAACAGTCTACAGTCATGAAAGAACAACTACAATCATCAAAACACCTTTTAAATTTATTCATTGCTGAGTGGATCTATGGCAATCCAATATTCAGCAGTCCCATTTTTTCCTCTAATACTATCCACATCTCTTCATTTCCACGAGCCCCACTTCTCCAAATAACCAAATTCTTTCAAGGTTCACTCTATCACTGACATATACTGCAGCAAAAAATCCCAGGTGAGCATGGAGAAGACCAGCAACGTTCTACTGTTTAGTAGAGACAGGTCAAACAGAGAAAAAAAATTGTACTAGAAACCCTGATAAGGTTTTGAAGGGAAGCTGATATAGACTGTGACCTCCATGCTGAGTTTCACTGCAGGTTGAAAACTCATTTACACAGAGTACACTGTTACAACCTGGATCATGTAAAACTATTTTATTTCTTATATCCAATATCCTACCTGAGGTCTGTGTGTCTCACAACTGAAGCAACATGCAGAACTTTACCCTTAAAGGGTTTATGAAACTCCAAACCTACTCAGACTCACATGCTGAAAATCAACTTTCCTTTTTACTGCAGAAAACCAACAAGATTGAACTGTATTTCTTCATTTTTCTCTAGGAAGCATTCTGAACACTACTCAGAAAGGAATCTTTCAATAAAGACAATGAAGCTCAGCAGATGATGTGACCCTCTCCTTCCATATGATAACCTGCTATGGATGGAGTCTAGGACTCCAGCTCTGTATCCATGATTCTGCATGCTAATGGCCTTAATCTAATCAACTGCATCAGCACACGAGTACCAATGCCAATTAATTGCTCCTCTGGGTTGCACATTTGAACATACATAGAACAACACTACACTGGCTATGAAATCAAAAGTGGGCATTCAGACCTAAGAAAAAAGGAACTCGAGAATTTTATATAAGACTGCAATAAGAATCTTCTTGAGGGAAACCCTGGTATATGTTGGCTACCCCAAACAGAAAAGAAAACAAACACAAAAGCCCTACAAATAGCTGTAACTATTTTCACGGCATACAGCGATGATGTTCAGTTCTTCAGTAAATATTTCTGAACATGAAATGGTCATTTAGTGTTTCCAACCACTCTGCTGAAAATAGTTTCCCAGTCTTATAGACAATGAGGCACAAGAAGTTAAATGGATTACTCAAGAACAAAGGAGAGTGTGCAAGTTTGTGCTACAGGTGCGTCCTCACACTGCCAAGCCATTCTGTGCCACGTGCAAACTGCTACATGCTTGTCCTGGAGGACCTGGAGGACAAGACAGATTAGAGGGCTCTTGTTCCAAATCAGAAGTCAGGGGAACTTTGGTTTCCCCTTTTGTGTCTATGCAACCAGCACAGAAGATCCCTGAGCCTCCTTGTACAACAAGCAGCAGCAAAAGCTGTTCTTTTAGCAGTGTGTGTTCCAATATACACAGCAGCCCTAGGGATGGCAAATCCAAGCACAGCTGAGTTGCCCATACATTGGCAGCAAGGCAGACACCTGCCATCATGGCTCCAAATGCTGGCTTCCTGCAAAACCAAGATCTTGCAGTGGTTGGACTCAATGACTCTATGGAAACTACTGCTGAGCAACTGGTAGACGAGTTATTTTCAAGATATGCTGGGGATCACATCCATTTCCTGAATTAGAAGAGTGGAATACAAAGATGGACTGACTATAAGTCCTCATTTTTTACTTACCTGGAAGTATAAAATCCAAAATCCCAAGCAACACAGGCCTTTATCAAAGTGACTAAAGCAGACTAGAAACTGGATTTTTGGTTTTGTGATTTTTAATCAATTAGCCCAAACCTGCAGCTGCTTAAAGCCCCCATATTACTCTGCCCATTTAAAACACTCTGGGGGGAAGATTTTATCAGAATAGGTTCCTTTCACCAGTTATGGCCATATTTGTTTCTTTTTTCCAAGCTTTTATTTCTATGGCTTCCATGGCAGATTTTGACAAGAAACATTACCACCTCCATGTCTCAGGCCCACCACTGCAGGACCTAGATCTTCTCAGCTTAAGAGCTTTCAAAATGTTACTCTGCAGTGAGACTTTCACACAAGAAAAGATGTAACATCAGACAGAAAGAAGAAGGAAGAAAAGAAAAAGCCCCCACATTTTGAATAAAATACAGTGCTGTTTGCAGAGTCCCAGTCTGCCACTTTCCCCACTGAAGTACCTTCTTGGCATCACAGTAGCGTAGCCCAAAGGAGTGGAATTGTGGGAAAAAAGATGGCTGGACAGCCGCGATCTGCGTGTAGAGCTCCACAGGCCGTGACATGGCAGGGGTTCCTGAAAGCAGGATCACTCTCTTGGCAGCCTGGGAAAGCAAAACAACATCATTATCGTACAGCTTACAATATAAGAAAAACCTAAGTAATCATCCCAGTCCCAAAAAACCCCCAGGCCTCTGTTCAAGTACCCTAAATGGAAGAGTATTTCACCTTCCACAGATACTTTCAGCCATCACTACCTGCAGACACTCAAGGACAGTACTTAAAACTTCTAGGGAGCAGGACAAACCATACAGTTTCTTATTAAACATCCACATGCTGTTAGGGAATGGGGCATCCATCTTTATTACAGTACTTTCAACTGGCATTTACCCCCTAAACACATTAATATCTTAAGCCTGGCTGAACATTTCATTTGGTATCAGATGTCATAGGAACATGACACACCCTCTCAGGTACATCCCCACCTCCAAAATAAATTCTCTCATAATAAAGTTGCCACAACAAGCCATAAGCAGACTGTCTTTCTAACAAAAGCAGAAGAGATACAAAGAGATAGGATTCTTTTTCTTACTTCTTTTTTCATTTTTTTTAAATTCTACTACAAGGAGGAAAAGATGAAGCTGTCTGAAGCAGGACCAGAAGAAGATCTGACAGCCATGGTGAGTCCAGGCACAGTTGGCTGGATGCTAGAACATGACTCAATAAACACAAATCATGCAAGAAGATTGTAAAACATGCTGTAGGGGAGACAGGAAGAGGGTGGGAAACCTGTACATAAACTAGGTGCTCCTCAAAAGTGAAGGAAAAAATTACACTATAGACATGAAAGTCTCCAAGATGCACTTCTACTTTCATACTTTCACTATTACCTAATTCTATTATTAGGTGAGAGCTATGAATTTCTACTGCTATAAATTCACATATAATACTTAAATTACACATGCCTTGCGATTTCCTGTATGGTTTAATGCAGGTTCATTAAAATAACAAAGAAATTCTTGAGTGACATCTGTACCAACAGCTCATTCACATTTAAATGAAAAGGAAAATGAAATTCTTTTATCACTTCCCTGAGATCAACAAGTCACCCAGCTCTATTCAGCTGTTTCATGCACTCGCCAACCAAATCTGGTGGAAAAAGAGTTCACAGATCAGCTACCGGAAATTAATTTCAGAACTCTATCAACTATTTATATATAGGTTGTGATCAGTGTGGGACTTGCCTTCTCCAGTCATCCCTATTAAACAGATCAGAAAGAAATGTGACCACCACCAGGATCAGACAATTCCCATGAACATTAAAAAAAGCAATATGTTTATTGAACTGAGTAAGAGAGGTCAAACCTTTGGACATGTCAGAAGGTAAGAGTTAGTTTGCCCGAGACAGAGGTGCCTATGCTACTCAGTGGAGGAAGGAGTCATAGAGACTAGAGATATCAGATGCCATGAGGAAACAAAGTGATCAGGCAGAAATGAGGTCAGCTTTTAAAATTAAGGTAACACTGGAGAACAACTGAGCAGAACCTAGACAATATCTGATGCCTTGCAGAAGCCTTTGAAGAGCAAACTGACACCACCCTGAGAAATCTGCTAAAACACAAGACAAGCCAGTCCCACAAGTACAACAAGAAACCTCCATATTAAAGTTGTCCCTCCTAGGCCAACAGAAGGCCATCACCAGAAAAAAAGAAAACACAGAGGTCATACAATTGCAGACATCTCATTTAAAATAACTCTGGATCAAGCTAAAGCAAGGAAAGCACACTCAAAACAGACCAGGGACATAATAAATGCAACATAAACCCAACTCTTGAAAGGTTTTATGCCATTCTCAAGGCTCTTCCTCTTTAGAGGGTTTCCCTGGGAGCTACATGAGATGAGGTTGGAAGACTAATTCTCCAGTAGTCAGGGGAATTAGGCTCCTTCCCGAATCCCTAAATAGGTGTCAAAAGAGAAAATTATGAAGTTACAAGTTATTTGAATTCTAAACTTTTCCAGCTGCTGTTTTGCTGTGTGTCACTAATGTCTGAGCAGACAGGGTATCTATCCAACCACTGCAAGCTCATACTAAGGGCTGTGACACATCTTCTGATTAACCATTTTAAACAAATTGAAAAGTAAAAAACCCTGACAATAAAAAAAAAATGAACAGAAACGTCAAAAGACAGTGACTCTACAAGAGCTAGGAAGAACTTGAGAAATTAATTCCAGAAAACTGTGTAACATAGGTGGTCTAACTCATTATTCCAAAGGTCCCTTTCAGTTTTAAAACCCATGACAGATGAAGCTCAAGAAAAAACAGAAGAAAAGAAATCCTAAGAAGGCAAATTTTCAAGTGCTAAAGGCTGACTTAAATTCTGGATGAAAGAAATGGGTTTGATTCCCATTTTTTTTCTAGTGGCAACTCATTTTGAATAGATGCCAATAAAGATTTGCTCCTGCAGAGAAGTCTCTGCTGAACACTGCTTAATTCTTGTTTCCTGTTGAACCTTCTGTGCTGCCAAGAGTGAGAGCTTAGCCTCTTCCTTCTCAGGTCTGTAAGAACACCACCAGAGAAAGTAAGATTGCAGGGACCAGAAAGGACTTTCTCGCAAAATCAGATCTGTTAGCAACTGATATATATTTCCACACAGAAGAACTAACATTAGCTGCTCAGTTGAATTTAGGTATGGAATTCATGGAGCTAGTGGAGACCTGGTCTGCAGTTCTCATTTACTAAGTAAGGTGAGAGAAATATGGCTTTGTAGCATTTCACAATACACCAGCAAGAATTAATTCCACAGGTGTGAGAACATTTACAAAAGTCACTTTTGAAAGTCAAAGAATAATTTGTAAAATGATGGCACGCACTTCAGAGGTCAAAACGCAGCAATCAACCAATTTGAAGGGGAATAGGTGATGAGGGGTTATGCAACAAACAAATAATTGAACGTGCAAAGAGCCTCATTAACATACAATGACTGTCTCTGTGTTAAATGAATTTCACAGCATGAGCTCTGCCATATGCTAACAGGCGACATACTTTTTTAAGTAAGTGTGGCTGGTTCTGGCTGTACAATTACTTGTTGTCCCCAGTTTTTGCTTACTGTGTCATTTTGAACTACTTAGCATAAGAATAGCTTATCCTCTGAAATGAAAAATCTGAGAGGGGCCATAATATAATAATCACCTGATGAAGTAAAAGATTTGATAAAGGGAAAGAGTAGCAGCCGTTTTGAGGAATCTGTTTCTATACCTGGGCAAGGTAGATAGGGCTGTGGATTTCATAAGATGATCCTACAGTAGTTATTCCAAAAAATATAAATACCTTTCCCTATTCTTAAGTGACATCTAGACAGACAATGTGTGTCAAACAGCAGTGATAAGCTATGACTGAAGCAAATTACACTACCTTCTTATTCCAAGAAGGAAGGGAAATTGCAGGGTAAGAGCAGATCTGAAGATGCAGCCCTGAGGGCTTCTTCAGTTTCAAGATGAAGTTCCTTCTCTCAGCAGGTGACAAGGAAAGGCTTATTTATCTAATCCATACACATCTGTAAGACTTAAAGACAACTGCTGTTTATTTCCCACTAGAAAGGGAAATTTGTGTTTTCTCCTCACCTTCTACCTTCGGCATTGACCTGTTTCCCTTCGTTATTTTTAAGTTGCTCTATTGAAACAAGAGCAAAGGGTGTATTTTACTCCCCTAGCAAAACCAAGGACCTTTAACCCAAACATCAGGATGTGAATCATGCTGTTAACTGGAACAGCAGCTCAGTGGGAACAGTCACATTATTAATATTACTCAAATGTTGGAGAACAATGCCCATAGAGAGCACAAAGGGAATAAGAATATTTAATGCTACTGGAATTTTTTATTAGATATTACCTTTTATTTCTCAATTTATAACCCAGTTCTTCACTAGCTATTGTCATGCTTCCAAAAAACTCATCCATTTTCCATTGGGACCTTCCCCAGTTTCCACTGCATTGCAGTACTCCATGCAACTACAGAAGAATAAAGACCATGCAGCACTTTGGCTGGTCAAAAGAGGTAGAATCCTTTTCAATCTGGTCCCTAAGAGATCCCACTACAGATCAATGAAAAACTTCTGTTTTGCCATTTCTTCTCCATCTACATTGTTGAGGCTTTGCTGTTTTAAGATACTGGTAGCATGTATGGTCCCTCTCCTATGTTTATGTCTCTGGGTCAGTCTAATCTTTGAAGGAAAAAACAAAATACTTACAAAAGGTGTAACACCATTGGCACTCTCTGCCTCTGAGGGAGGCAGATGCACGGCAGAGGTGAAGGGAGCAACCAGTATTATCAGTACATCCAGGAGAATTTAGTCACCCAGACATGAGACTACAGAAAAAAGCAGGTGACAACTAGGTCCTAATACCCATTGCCATAGCTTTCAATTAGGGGTAAGGACAATCCAGGCCTAAACAGGACAAACCAGGCCTAACTACTCAATCAAAGCCCCACAGGATGAAACCATTCTCACTTTGATGTCCATGGAAACAAGACAAAAGGGCCACTTTGAGCACAGCAACTTCTAGCCCTCTTGAGTGCTGTGAGAGGTGCTGCAGCTGGGGACAGAGCTCACGAAGCTGCTGGCACAGACCAGCCAGTGTGAAAGCTGGCTGACCTTGAAAGCAGGGGTTTTGCCACTCCATCAAACATCAAAGGACTTTTTTCTACTACAATTTTCAAACCATCCTGCTTCATAATTTTGCAGGGATGCACACAGACTGTGTACAAACTCTGCCACCTGCTTCCACGCAGGCGGATAAAGCATTCTCCCCCACGTACAAGTCTGCACACCCACAAGTTTGCACATCCACTGGGAACATGAAGGGAGTAAGAAATCTGGCCTAAACATCTTGCTGCTGCTGCCATTTCACCTTATCTTACTGTTTGTGCAATTACAAGTTCCTCTCAAAGTTCTGTCCAGTAACGATAAATTGGGCACAACATGTCTATATACTTACTCTAAGCTAATGACAACCTGGGGCAGGCTGAGGCAGCGAGCACAGCCACTGCATACATCCAGTCATTATAAAAGTTCTTCTGTTCACAGCTCCCGCTGTCTCAAGCAAAACTTTTCTAAATCTCTGTCAGGGTAGCAGCCAAGCATGTCAGAAAAGATACAGAGTACTGCACACACAGAGTTTGTGGCTTTTGTTAGTATTAAAAATATGTCCAGAAGTTCCCAACTGACAGACTTAGGTCACATGTTTAATACATGGCCTTCCTTGAGAATTCCATACCACACTTGTACTGCAATATATACAAGAGAGCAGGAAAAGATGAATTATTATTATTGAGTGGCTAAAAATACCATTTAATTTTGAAAACTGGTCAAGCTAAGCTTTCATGCCTTAGGATGTTGGGAACCTCATAGGAATATAAGCAACTACGGCAATTTCAGACAGTTTAAAGTAGTATAATGCTAAAAACAGTTAAAAGTAGCATAATGCTAACAACAGTTAAAAGTAGCAACACTTTAAAGGCAGACAGACAAGGCAGGAGATAGCTCCAGAGGCTCTGGATACAGCATTGGCATGGCTTCCTATCGGGACCTTAAGGTAGGGATGAGGTGCTAGAAGCAGTTTACCTATCAAGGACTTTCCTATGGATATCCCTTTTTTTGGTCTCTTCTAAGAGCCCCAGTACTGCTCTAATCTTTTTAACATAAGGAAGGCAAGCAAGAACATTATCCATAGCAGCATGTTTATCAATCCCTCTTTTTCAATAATCTCGAAGCATCATGTAAAATACTGAAAATACTCCCTGTTAACCCATTGACTATTTACTATAAAAATGACAGTACAGTTGTTAAATCTAGTATTCAAGTGATGAAAGCACCCGATATTTTGGCAGTTCTTTATATACAAAAGCACTGGTGTGATGTGCTGTGCCAGTAGCGAACACAGTATCACTCACTAGGAGCTGAAGACAAAGCTGCCAAAGGGGCTAGTTTTAGAGCAAAATGCCTATGTTGGAAAGGAAGGAGGGCAGAAAAGTGACTATTAGAGCACGGACTCAGGTCAGAAGTTATTGTCAGCAAGCAGAAGAATAAAATTTACCTGAACATCTAATACAAAATAGCTGGCACTGCATGCTGAGTGCAGGTGAGATAACGCATGATATGGACATGAAACTCTTAGTGCTGGAATTCAGTTTCAGAAGCATCAGTTCTCAATTCTTTAAGAGCAGTGATGTGACAGCATAAAACTGTAAATTCTCAGTAAGTGCATACAGGCAATTAACCTTTGCCTAACAGCTACCATCCTTCATTCTCATATCTTGTAGCTTGCAAATAATTCTGACAAGCTGATCCTAACAAAGCTTCATGTAGGAAAGGATAAGGCTGCTTTTTGAGCATTTTGCAATGAGGTAAATTTGTTATTTTCCACCACTTTCAGACAGATACCCTAATTATTGTATTTCAAACTACTCTTAAAATTGGACCTCCTACTTAGTTTCCAAACATTAAGTCTCGAAGTGATCTGAAAACCAAGAGAAGACAAGAGTCAGGCCTTTAAGGAGAACAACAAAATTATTCAAGGACAACCACCTTCAGTTTGCCATTAAGAATCTTGTATATGAAAGTTGATTGCTATAAAGCCATCACACATCGAATCTTCTCTTTATACATACTTGCTGATTAATTGCTGAAGAGGAACTGCATGTACCTTCTTCTAATGTACAGACTCTGCAGTATCTGGAAACTACCCATAACTTTAATCTGTATCTGTTTGAAGCTACCAAGGAGAGTTCAATTCTTTGATCCCAGGACAACAGGAAAACATGAGAATTTGCATTTTTCCTGTTATCACATAATTGACTACTGCCTCCCTTCTGTGGGGCCACTTGTCTTGCTAACCTCACATTTTGCCATTTCCTAGTAGTTCTGTACATTTAACCAGCAGGAATGATCCTGAGCCCCAGCCACACAAATACATTGGAAGCTTGCAGTAACAGACTAGAGCCCTAATCCAAAGCCAAGGAAGGGACCTAGGCAATGTCTTTCTTATAAACAGCAGCAATTTGTGTGCCAAGAAGTAACTGATGATTATTTTCATTAAAGAAGCTGTGTTGACATCACTAGATTCTTTCTACTCTCCCTGAATATATTCAGTAAGGTTTGATATTCCCTTTCTCCTGTCACCATAAAACTCATCAGTGGCAGTACCACAATGAGATCAAGGGAGCTTCTGAAGTTGTTTTGTTAGGTCTTACCATCTAATATTTGTATAGAAACAAGTAGTAACGCCAGAGACAAATTTTGCTTTTGGATCTACACTTTTAGCTGGATTTCCCCTTGAACAATGCAAGAATTCAGCTGCTGGCTCCTAAACCTGGTAAATGGAGCAACACTGCCTTGGGAGCCTGGCCTTAGCAGTTTGATCCTTCGAGGTTTGCCACCAGCACACGCACCTTGAGTAGAGGCATGGCAGCTCGGCATCGTGCAGTTTTTATGTTCTTTAGGAAATGAGATTCATCCTGAAACAAAACAGGAATGAAAGCGAAGTCAGTTCTGATCCATAGTCCAACTGCAGGTTACAGAACAAATTCCCAGTATTCTCAGCTATCTAGTGTTACAAGCCTCTCATGTCAGACGGTATTTCAGGCATTGGGATAGTCACATCAAATTCTAAACAAAAAGACAGGATGGAGAGTAGCAGGCTTCCAACATTCAAAACTGCAGCTGCAAGCAAATGGAACAGAAACCAAACCTGGTAGCCATGAATCATAAATGACCACAAAAAAACATGTGAGAAGAGGGGGCTGGAGAGGGAAGGAGAAAGGAACATTATTTCCACCACTGATACTCATTTGATACCCTATGTATCCTTTAAATGCAGCAAACATAGGAGGCCTCTACAGTGCCAGTTCCCTTAATAAGGGGTGAATGAAAATTATAAAAAAAAAAAGAAATCCAATTAAGACCCAACTGTTCTGCTGATAGGGCTCACCAGGTGGGTAATAGTTTCCTACTTAAACATCACCCTCAAACAGGCTTCATTTCTACTGCTGTAGCAAGGCAGAACTTAGACACAAAAAATAATCAGTGCCCTCCAAAGGTACATTCTCATCTTTCCACGTGTGTAGAGGCAAGCAACCATGCATGCAAAGACAGTATAACTGCTTAGCCTCTCAGGCACAGGCTTCTCCCTCCTGATTAACAAATAAGCTACATTAAATTTCCCAGGCATCAAAAACACTGGAAGAAAAAATGGGAAAGCTCAGCACTCAATAGGACTATTCTTTTCTGTAAAAACATACACAGGGTCCAAATTTGAACACATAGACACAGAGAAAGAACATTTGCCAGTTCAGGACTGGTAAAAAGTTCCAGGGCAGTAGAGCCCAATTCCACCCCCAGTCTACAAGATCAACAGAATTTCCTGTCAGAGAGTGTGTAAGGGAAAAAATATAAAAGTGAAAAAATCAATTCCCTCATGAGTAGTTTGGTCTCCAAAGAACTCCACCTATTACCACATTCTCATCTAATGCTGAGAAACAAAAGGATTAGTATGTTCCAATTGTCATATCTTTGGACAGGTGCATGTGTGCTGAAAACTAGACTGAGAACATCAAACACTCATAGTAAGCTACCTATACACTTTTGCTCTCTATTGATCCAAGCTGGATTTGAAACACTAGATGTTTCGAATTTTTAATAACTGAAATCCAGAAAAACACCTTTTACTGTGGCTCTGTAAAAGGATAAAAAATGGATTTTGAAGTAATTTACAAAAGAAATGATACAAGTGATCAAAGAAGGCTTAATGCAGATTGTCAGCGGAACACAAGTAAAGGGAGATTTTTTAGACGCTTTACCCACATAGTTGATTGTTGAGAAGTTATCTGGTTTACTGGATAAACAGTAACACTACCCTGAAGTCCAATCCCCTTAAGAAGATACAATTCCAAGACTATTGTACTGACACACCATATTAAACACCTTTCTCTCCAGCAGAGGACATGACCAACCACAATGAAATCAGAGAGGCACCATAACAGTAAAAGCGAAAACACAGCCTCAGGAATCAGAAAAAATTAAACTCCACTAGTTATTTCAAATGGTTTCAGAAAAACCTCCTTGTACTCATAAAGACAGCTGTGATCAAAGCCACAATTATAAGATAGTTTCAGTTTCAAATAAGGCCCACTTTGCACTTCTCTGCTGTACATAGGTCACCCCGTTTGCAGCATACAATTAACTTGGAAATTTTAGTGTACCACTTACAACAATAACTACTTGGAATGTGCTCTTAAGTTGCTTGTCCATCTTACTGAGAAGGTCAAAACTGATGATGTTGATCAAGCTTCCTGTTAGGTTGTCTTTGCCAGTCACTATGACATTAGTGCTATCTGGACTCAAGGATGGAAGCCACCTGTGAAATGCCTGGAGGAAGAGGAAAGAAATTAATTGCATTCTGGTGCTTATCTTTTTCAAGATCCCAAAGCACTTCACAGAATATCCTTCCTCATGAATACTTAGAACATGGAGCCACCCCATCCACCACTAGACATCACCTGGGAGCACAGTAAGGGTAAGCAGCCTTCCCCCAACCACCCTCGTAATGGGAAGATCAAGACCGCAATTCAGGCTATAAGGCAAAATCTACCTTCCACAGCTAGGAAAGCTCAAACATGCGCTATTTATTCTTCTTACTGAAAAAATAAAAAGCAAGACAGACAAAAGAAAAAAACAAAAAACCCCAATAAAACAAACAAAGCCCCTGATCTGTAGTAGAAACGTGGATAACCTCCTGACAATGTTACCTGCTATGCTCAGAGCCAGAGAATGATGCAACCACTTCTTACAGGGAAATTTAGTTTTCCTACTCAACAGGAAACCTCAGGCTGTGAAACACAGACTTCTGAGCAGTAAACATCTATTACTGTAGCAATGTTTACTCCACAGTGAGGATAAAGTACAACTCATCCAGATCAACAAAACTCTTCCACTACCTCTTCTGAAAAGGTCTACAGAAAAAAAATAACAACTTGCCAAACAAAAATAAAAAATGAAAAGATCAAGTTGACAACACACCAACTGCTCTATGACAGCAGCTGAAATACATGTGGTAATAGTCATTCAATCAACCTCTTGAAATGCTCCACACACCAGAGCAAGATATCCTCCCCCAAACCCATCTGTTAGCCACAGACCACCCACCATTTCCCTTGTAATTTTGTCCCAAATGACACCAAGCTCTCTGCAACATTTGAGTTCTGCTGATGTTGCACTGCAGAAAACTGTCTGGGACTTTGGTCATCCGAATCTGGTCCCTACAGAAATGTAACCAAGTGGTGATGAGAAATGGCATCTTTGTCTCTTAAGCCCACTGCCCAATACCCAATACCCCAACCATCATTCCTCTCCACTGTTCAGCAACCACCTGCAGCAGCAAGAGGAGTTAGATGAGAGCTTCCACATTTCTCAGTATGTGAAAAAGTAACAATTAACTATCCTTCACCACTTACTATAAGCACCACAACCAAAACAAGCCAACATGCAGGTTAGACCCCAACCAAAAAACACGTGGCTGGCACCAAGTCAAATCTTAAACAAAGGTGGCAGCAAGAGAAAAGTATCTGGAAGCTCCTAATTGTACTGCCCTCTCCTTTCATAAAGAGTATGTGACTAATTCACACCACAAAAGTGATGCTGTACTTCTCACATGATACTGACCTTTGTCCACAAGAGGTGCTTCGAAACTGCCCTGACCATTAAATAATCAAGTTTCAATTCTGAACTCTAAATGCTGCAGTGCTTCTCACCCAAGAGTACCTTGCATCTTCCCACTAGCTTCCTATGACACCCTGAGTATGAAGTCACTGAGTGGCCTGAGCCCAAAAAGCCAAAATAAACCACTGATAACACTAAGATGAAGAAAATTTCTGCCAATTTGGCTCCAGAGAGTTTCTACCGTTACAGTAAAACACATCTGTGCAAGAATGAACTGAGTAGATTAGAGACTATAATAAACCTCACCTACTTCCACTTTCTGTGACGCATTTTCCTTACACCTGCATCTTTCACATACTCAAAAAGCAACACATCTAAAACAAGTGACCTAACAAAACATATACAATAGCCTCCTGGGGAGTCAGGATTAGGGGAAGGAAGAAGAAATCAAGTACTCAAAGAATCAAACAAAAATGCCTCATATTGCTTAAATCTTTTGAAGGGAAATGTAGAAATTTAGTTGCAGGTGCCCAATAATTCAGGAAACCAAGCCTCAAATTGTTCCTGGTAGATATCCCACAGAAGCGATGGTGTTGTCCCAGAGGTCTACAGGCCTTGAAATTTCAAGTCTGATGAGCATCACTCCCTTCTCCCATTTTCTTTTCTTTTTAGCCCTACATTTTGTTGCACTACTGGATGTGAAAACACACACCAGGATGCTCTAACAACCTGGTTACAGCACAAAAACAGCAAATCCCAATCAATACTCTTCTCATCAAAGCAATATTCCAGGAAAAGCTAAACTCCCACCCCCTCCTGCTCTGGCATGAATTTACTGACCTAAAACCTCTGGCTCACCTTCTTCTCCCACAGTGAGCATCTCACTAGCCTATGGCAACCCAACAGTGTATAGGCCATGGCAGTGATTTATTTTGAGATACATTCCCAACCATCCAAGCTTTCCTGGGCTTTGATCAACATTAATTAAGGACTCAGTGGAGTCAGCAGCATACAGTGGACAGGCCAAAAGACGTAATATGACACACACTTAATGATGGTGATAATGGGGCCTTTTGAACAGAGCAGAGAATCCCAGCATCTGGGCCCCTGTTCCAGCCAAGGAACTGGCAAATACTGCTACAATGGGCTTGAATACAAGACAATTGCTTGAATGTAACTATTATCTTTGACACTGATGAGTAAAATGCCCCCTTGGAGCCAGCTGACTTGTAGGAACAAAGTTAACAGAGGGTCAGAGGAGATACTTTTTCTAGTTCTCCCTCTTTCCAACAGATCAGCTGGACCACAAGAAGAAAAACGGCCAATAAAACAAAATTGGCATATACCACATAGTCAATGCTAAGCAATTTCCCCAACTTCAAGTTTCTAAATCAGTATAATTTTTAGTTTCTTCGCCTTAATATTTTAAAAATTTAACTTTTACAAAGTGCAATAAACTATAACCATCTCACAGGCCCTTTACTGGCCACCTGCCCATGCTCAAGCTCACAGTACCTCTGCCCATGTAAACCTCACGGAAGAAGGAGTCACCACCAGCAAGGGCCATTCCTTTTGGTAATAGGCAGCAATGCAGATCGCCTGGATGGTCTTGCCCAAGCCCATGTCATCTGCAAGGAGTAAACGTCCATTTCTCAAAATTGCAAAACTGGGGAAAATAGAGGGAAATACGGGTCAAGAATTGCGTTACTATCTGGCAACCAAGATGAGCACAAGTCATCACCGAGCCTCTAATGTGGATCACCTGAAAGTGATCTGAGTTCTTCAGTAAACTTGGATTTTCTCCCTTAGTCTTAACAGACATGAGTGACTCTCACAGATCTCTCACAGCTTGGAAGCTCCTGAACAGAGCGGTTCGGCCCAGTCCTTAGAGACTGATTTCATATGAGAAGTAGTGTCAAGACCATACAATTATTTAAAGCACATTCTTTACATGGTGTTACATTCTGTCCCAGAGTTCATCCTGGCTGAGCTAAGAAATCATTACCCATAACAATGGCAATTTAAGGCCACTAAGAACAGACTTTCCTGGACTGTATATTGAAGACAACAACAAACGATCATATATGATGGGCACAGGGTTATTTAAGAGTTTATCTTTACATACAATTAGTCATTTTGAATCTGTCAGGGCCTTGGTCCCATTTCCTGGTCCCTTCCCCTGGGTAGTTAATATTCAAAAAACAACAACAACAAAAGAGATGCACTCATAAAAAAATATTTTACTTTACAAAATAAAAAAATCATATGACAATTATGTACATACTGAATCACAAGAGGGAGATCAGCGATGTATCATTTGAACAATTTTTTCAGACTAGCAAAATGCTACTTTGCTCCTGACTCATGATGAATTCTATCTAGAAACAAAACACAAGTGAGTGACACAAGATGTGTCACTCAAAAATTCCACAAAAAAAAAAATCCCAACCAAATAAACCATACTATACCAAACACCCAAAAGCCCAGAATGCCAGAGTATAAGAGACCAAGACTGAAGAAATGCGGAGTCTTCCATGGAAGAGAATGCAACCTGGGCACCAATATAAACTAGATAATTCTAGGCAAGGAGTAGCCCTTAACAGCTTGCAAAAAGGACATACTTCACACCTTCCCGCTGAAAGGGCATGAGGCTCGTCACAATTTTGGAGTCCACTGCTGAAAGGTCGGCATCAGGAATGTCTGTGCGTGACGGGGATCTCTGCAGCTGAGCAGCAAAGGTCTGTATTACTGCCTGGGGCAGTGGCTCCACTTCTACTGACACAAGGCTCTGTAACACTTCCACTGCAAAGAACAGAGCAGTTTATGATTGCAAGGGGCAGCATACACACAACTTACATTATGGATGTCAGGGCACAACCTCATCAGCAGTATTATTTCCTGTCCTGAAACAGCTCACAGAAATCACTGCATCATGCACAGGTGTTAGCCTGGCCTGTTCCCTGAAGTCTATTTCAGAACCACATGATGAATCACATCTCCTCCCCTCGTATTTAGACTTGGTTATAAAAAAAATGAAACTCTGACGCCATCATTCTGAGATGATTGCTACTAATACAGCTGGAGCTGGATTATTCACACTGAGGGCAGCTTAGGGCACACTTACTCAGAAATGAAAGTATGGATTTTAACAAAAGAGCTCCTGAAGCCTAGAAGGCAGGGGCATCTTTATCTTGACCTTGGGATTCTGCATTAAACACCTCTGAGGTTTCCACCATGTCCAAATCACCAGCAGTGACCCAAGACAGTTACCGAAAGAATATCATACGTGTTCAGCTTTGAAAACTCTCTTTTCCTCCTGTTCCCCAAATTCACACAGGTTGAGTTCTGTCTCCACTTCATCCCCCTCGTTTACTACATTTGCGTAAGAAAACAGGAATCACCCCAGGAGTCAGAGAAACTGCTCTTGTACCGCTGTCAGCAGCACTCTGACAGCCATCCTTCAGTAACAACAGCACCTCCCTGCTTAGCTGGTGTCCACTGCTGTTGTCCTGGACAGAAGCAGCTTGCAGGTCAGAACCAGCCCACAGGCAGTCACTTGAGTTCTTCAATACTTATGTTGTTTCACTCACAAAGCCCCTGAGCTTTACCTTCCCAGTTGAACTAAAGGGATTCCCCAGCCTCCATTATGCCAAGACCTTGAGGCCTTCACCCATGCATCATAATAAACAAAGCATCTAGGCAATTCTCCTCCTGGACAACCTTATTTCAGTTCCCTCCAGCAGCCTCTCTATCCCATCCCCCCCTCAATAAAAGTATTCTTTTTAATCCAACAGTGAATTTCCATGAAAATAAATACCTGTTTAAAACATGCAGTGAACTGTGACCAGGAAAACATATTTAGTAATTTTTGACCAGTGACTATGAAACAAAAGACACCTCTACACTAGGAACACAAATGCACATGCACAGATCTTCACTGCAGGAAGCAACTTTCTTTTTTATTTAGTGGTTGGTTTGTATATGAAGTCCAGAAGACATAAAAAAAACTGTTTGGAAAAACAACTGAAAAAAGAACTCACTATATCAACAGTAAATGTATCAGAATTCAGTTAGGTATTTTTGTTTCAGTTATCTCCAAGAGGAAAGCAGCAGGATGGACCCCTGCCATGTAAAGGGGAAAAGCAATTCCAAGAAATATACATATGAAAAGATTTCCATTTGTGGTTGGGCAATGACCAAACTTTTTAAACTCTCCAGTTTAATTTATACTTCTTCAATAGCAGGAACTCTCTCCACCCGAAGTACAGCAGAAGCTTGTTATTACACTCACAGACCGAGCTGTGTGTTAGCATAATTGCTACAATTTGCTCACTGAAAATTCTGTTGCTATTGTTCTGTACATGAGCTGGGAAAGTGATTAAGATATATCTGCCACCAGCATGATTCATCCAACAGACATTTTTTAGTGAAGTGACCTTTATATAAAGATGACTGAGCAACTAGGCAAAGAGACATTAACCTCTATAAACAGTTTTCAGCTAACAGATCTCTCTGCTGGAAATGGCAACCAGCCTTTTTAAATTCTCTCTTCTTTTTTTATTCTGATGTAGGCAAATGAACAGGCAACAAAGCAAATGCTGTTTCTCTAAAAGGCACGTGCCAGAAGCCTCAAATGCCCTCACAAATTACACCCTGCAAGATTCACGGAAATTTTTTTTCTTTCCTCAAATCTGTGGGATTCTCAATACTTCATGTAATGTATACGACTGCCAGCCAGCATGACTGAAACTGTGACAGACTGGGAGGTGATGTGTTTGCTCAGACTGCCTAGCATGTGCTACAGGATCAGGCCCTTTGCACATACAAAAGGCCTTTTTAGCAAATTGTGAGTGAACACCAGCTCTCACTGAAATCAGGACCTGTCAGCATCCCAACCCTGCGGTTTCATAATAGTCTCCACCAAGACACACTCTCTTGTTTTCAAGACCTGGCATTCCTACACAGCCCCACTGCATGGCTTTCAGCTCTACAGCCATTACTAACGTTATTAAGGCATGCATCATAGAAGCATGCATATACTCAATTATTAAACATGCTTTGGAATCCTGTGGAAGCAGGAGCACACGCTGGATAAAAACTACTCTAAGCAACAGCTTTTCATCTCTGAAATGCTCAGTCACATTTTCTAAGAATGTGTGTAGAGCACCTTGCTTACTGTCTTCCTGAAGCTTACCCCAACCAAATTCCACAGGCACATACGAGTACCAAGGCAAACACAGCAGGTCAACTGAGATGAAAAATAATAATCCTAACACTTAGGACTTGTGTAATGCTATTCATCTCCAAGCATTCTATAAACTCTAACTAAACATAGAAGACTAAGAAGCAGATGTGCTGGAAGCATGCTGCTGAGACTGGATTATTCTGCAAAGTTGCACCCATTAAAAAAATAAAAAAATCACTGCAACACAACAAACCACAGTTCTACATTTCAGTTCAGCAAGTCACAGTTTCAGCAGGATTACACAGATGCATAGAGGCAAAATGCAGTGGGCAGAAACTGATGCACAGGAAGTTCCACCTGAACATGAGGAAGAACTTCTTTACTGTGCGAGTGACCAAGAGGTTGTGGAGTCTCCCTCACTGGAGAAATATCCACAAACCATCGGATGCAATCTTGTGCCATGTGCTCTAGGATGACCCTGCCTGAGGGAGGATGGACCAGATGACTCACATTGGTCCCTTCTAACCTGACCCATTCTGTGATTCTGAGTCTACTGACCAACTTCTACCAAGCAATTAACTCTATAGTGACACTATGTGCTTAGATTCCACTTGCAAGGAAAAATAGGATGCTTTTTTTCTTGCTAAGCTTTCTTTTAAGCATCCAAACAGCATCAAAACATTTTAGTAGAATATGAAATTCAGCTTCAAGAAAGCCTCTGCTTCAAGCAGATCTGCACAATTCTGCAAGAGAAACAAGGAACTCTTCTTGTTTGCCTCAGAATCAACTCATCTATAGAAGCAACCTGAATTCTAACCTGCTGCAGACATCAACTAAAAACTTAATAGTTGTGTGCTGCCTGCAAAGCCATTATTACCAGCAGTAACATATGAGGCTGAACAAAATCAACTAGACAGCACTCAGACTGTAACTGTAGATGAACTGGTCGTTACAGAAGCCATCATCTGACTTGAAAACCTAGTGCTCTGATCTGAAAAACCAAATTTACTGGGTGTGAAATGAACTAGCACACCACCATGCGCACTACTAAGGAAATGGAAGCAAAACTGCCTGATACATGTTTGTTTTCTAAGCAAGGGGTGGCTGTGACAGTGTATGAATTGATATACACACAAAAGAGTGCAAGGAGGGCTGGCACTGAGAGTAAGGGGAGCACAGCTAAAACACATCAGTTTGACAGAATTTCTGTAAGGACAGGTAGGCTTGGCAGCCACCATGTCAACCTCTTCAAATGTGGCAAGTGGAAACAAAGGAATCCATTCTCCTGTAACTCCTCAGTTCAAGTAGAGCTGCTTTACGTTATAAGCAATAAAAGTAACTTTGTGATAGTAAATACACCCATGCTTTAAGAAATGGTCCACAAATTCAGTGCAGAATCTGACAAAAGCTAAAGCTACCTTCCCAATGGGCCCCTAAAGTACTGTCATGAATAGCACACATTAATAAAGTTTTGAGTCTGGGCAAACAGTGTAAATGTTTGACAAAACAGGATGACGCTGGCCTCACAGTTCATTAGCAACTTGTCTTTCCAGAGTGAAAATAAAGAAAAAATAAAGTTAGAATTCATTTGCCTCCCCAGAAAATAGCCCTCACCAGGGAAATGCAGCTACTCACTTAGTTTGGGGTAATCCTCCAGCAGGAAATTCCACTTTCTGGTGTTCACATCTGCAATAGTTACAGCAAACACTGTCATAAGTCTCTTTCAATAAAGACTGAATTCTCTGTCCATAAGAACCTGTCTATTCATCCATATCTTCTGCTACAGATTTCAGAACTGCTTTAAAAGAATTGTTACCTTCTTCAAGATCAATTCTCCTCTGTTTGCTTTCATGTTAAGCAAACAGTCTGGAGAAGATTTAAAATTATGAGCACACATCTAGAACTGGTATCACCAGAGCAAGCCAAGGTCAGCTCTCCAAATGAACCACTGTAATGAACCCATCCGCTCAAGAATTTTGGCAACCCCTTTCTTTTCACTGCAAGAAGGGATGGAGAATGTGCATGAAGGTTCCCATTTGTTAATCAACAAACTCTGGCTTCAGTCAGTAGAACAATCACTTTCAGTTGTACCTCTGTACTCTACAATTGATGTGCTCAGGAGGGTACAAAGGAAATTCACCAATTCAACAATATCCAAAATGTAACATCATGCCAGACCTATCTGGCAGGTTTATCTCTGGTAGCACCTGCCTACAACATCCAGGGAAACAGAGTGAATCCAGAATTAGCTGAACAATGAGCCAGGTGAGGGCCTGCCCGAAGAACAAGCAATCCGGAATTTGTTCTCTATGCTGTCAGTGATCTGCTGTGACACTGTGCAGGTCACCTCAACACTCTGTGCCTCATTCCCCAAATTACAAGGGGAAAAAAATTATATTTACCATTGAAATCTGAATGCCGACATAAAAAGTGTTCCACAGTTACACTTGCCTCAAAAATATTGGTAAAACTGCTGGTAAATTAAATCTGCCCAGGCAGTTGCAGCCATTATACACCAGAGTAAAGCAGGACAAATAAGAGAATGTCCAACTGCATTTGATAATAAAGGCAAGAACTTCACATGGTCTCCGTAATACTGGCAAATTATCAGCACATCCCACCTCAACAGTAAATGTCATCATGCTGGGTTCTGAAATATCACCTTGGCTAACAGGCCCAGGAGACATGTTCTGCCATGGGATAAAATGCTGGACACAGATACAGCACTATAACAGAACTACAAGAGCTCTCAAAATCTTCACCAAAGCACAATCTCTTATGCTCTTTCAGAGAGATGTACTCTCACGATCTGTCTTCTCTGAAGCAAGAGCAGCCCCAACAAGGTCATTAAAAAAAAAGCAAAAAAACCCATGAGACTCACCATAATTTCTGGAATCCATCTGTTTGAACACTCCAATCACTTCTGC